CTTAATTAGGGTACTCCTAAGGCTTAGGAAGAGCCACACTCAAGGGGCCAAAGAGCCGCATGTGGCTCGAAAGCTCAAGTTTGCCAACCATGGTCTTAGCATGAAGGAAAAACAAGTTCCCCAACCCCGTGTCTACAGTTCCTTAAAAAGTGTCCCACCACACCCAACACCCAGGAGCCCACCTCACCCACCAACTCCCCTGCCTGTGAATCTAAGGAGGAAAGAGAGTTTGCCTCGAGGCTCCAGGTACTTAGTAGGATTGGGGCTGGGTGGCTGCTGCCCCCAGACAGGAAGGTCACACCCCTACTGTTATAGATGTCTTGGCTTAGGCTTTGGCGATGAATAGTTGCTCAAATCTGTATTGCACCCCAAAGCCCCGTCATTAACTCGACTTTAAAAAGGACGGTTATGGGCCCACTTGCTTGTTTTGCAGCCTGTGAGCTAGGAGCCAAGGCATAAAATCAAATATAAATCCGTGTGTTTTCTTGAGGAGAAGCTTTAGGACAGGCAGAGGGTGAGCACTGGGCAGCTTTGCCCTGGGTTTGCCGGCTCCCCGCATATCCTCGCAGAGCTAAAGAAACTCACCAAGGCAGCGTGGGCAGCATTGGCTGGGAAAGGAGACCTCCTTGGAAACTGTGAAGTCGCAGCGCCCCCTGCCAGCACGTGGCCGCAATAGCTAGGAAGCTTTCCAGAGCGGAGCCTGTGCCAGGGCCCCAGGGCCTGGGGGAGAACCTCCCCCTGGCAGCAAGGAGCATCTTTGCTCCCGTGGGAATCTGGAAGTCGTCTGCAAGGTGAACTCCCGGCTCTGTCTTCCCTTTCCTCCCCTCCCCCATCTACTCAAAGAGGACCCAGGAACCAGCAAAGGACATAGCGGGGTCTCCCTAGTGTTCTGCCTGACCCCCAACCATGCCCCAGCCTCTGCTTATTTGAGGCAGTCTTCAGTTAACTGGATGTAAGGTGGTGACATCACCATTATCATTATTATGAGCATGTCAGTTATATTATTTATGACCATCTCATATTATGATCATCTCAGCTACGACTCGAAGAGCAGATGTCATAGCTTACGTGCCCAGTAGCCCTAAAGAAAACAATAACAAAAGCATCGCATTGATGCCAAATATGACAAAGTGTCAGTCAATTCCAATTTCAAAAATACTGCTAAAAATCTAGTCCAGGTTCTGGCTTGACCTGGACCCTTCCTTCCCCCCGGCCTCCACACCCATGTCATTCCTAGGCCCGTTTTTCACTTCAGTCCTCTTGCCAGCATTAAATGCGCGTGTTCCCTATCTTTACAATTAGAAATTAAATGAAATTTTGAACTCATCACTCTAGAACACACTTTTCCAGGTTTTTTTTTTGTATCCTAAACATCAAAACAAGAATTCTCACTAAATGCTGTCACCAAGCTTGGCATCGCGTGTGCCTTCCTAGAGAGCAGCGACCCTGCGGGAACTTATCCACAGTCCGCTCACCATGCAGCTCTGACTCAGGTTCTGGCAGCTCACTCTCCAGCACTCTCCTCCCTGAGTCTTCCCCATCACAGCCAGAGATCTGGATGTCTGTCACCCATGACACCCCCTCTTCCTTAGCCCCACATCCCTGTCTGCATGTCCTTCGGTCCTGCCTTCAAAATATGCTCTGTATCTAGCTCCTCGCCACTCCACTGTTACCACCTGAGAACGAGTGTCCATCCATCATCAGAGGAGGCTCCTGCCCCTCTGCCTCCTCCCTTCTATTATCCTCACAGCAGCCAGGGGGAACCTTTCAAAATCCACATCAGATCATGGCAACAATTACAACTAAACTCATTGGCTCTCCACTGCACTCTAGGATTGGATTCAAATGCTTAGCTCTGCCTTCAAGGCTTTGCTGTCTGCACCCTGCCTAATTCTCCAACCTCCTTCAGGGCTCCGTCCTCCTCACTCCTGCTGACCTGGGCACACACCTCTCCTGGGGTTTACAACTTTGCAAGTCAGAGTCTTTAGCAGACATTTTCCACCTGCTTCATTTAGCTTTCAGCTTTAATGCCTCTGTGTGAACTCACAACCTCAATTCTTCCTCTTTGTGTCAGGGTCCTTACATCAACAAACTACAACCAATTGTGCATTCACTGGTATACTGTCAGACTCCCTCACTGGGTGGTAAGTTTGGTGAGGGTGCGGAAAGCATCTGTCTTGCTCATTGATGTATCCCCAGTGCCAGGTTCAGGGCCAGCTGGAGTAGGTACTCAGTTGAACGAGTGAATAAATGAATGGACTTTCAGGGGTTGATGTTACGAGCTCAGAGAGGGTTAGTGATTTGCATGCTGCCACACATCTAGCAGGAGGATGTGAAGTTCCTAGGAGAACCTACCACCTGCCTGAAAGACTGCTGGGACAATGAGAAGTGGGGACGTGTGGGGCAGGCAGGTGAGAAGATTCTAGAACAGTAACTCTCAGCGAGAATCCCTCTGGTGTGGGATCCTTTAAGAATGTGTGAAGCATATTAAATGTTTACATTTCTTGAAAAAATATATTTTGTTTTCATAATTCAGAGTGTTGTAAGTAAGGCTCTCTCCACCAGACACTCCCCTCACCCGCCTTCCCCATCTGGGGAGGATAACAAATAACACAGGACTTCTCTGAGCGCAGATTTTTAGGTTTATTGCAAGGAAGAGGGCTTAGAAGGCTACCAAGAAACTAACCCAGAGTTTGGGTCTCAGTGACTTAGAAGCCAGCAAGACTGCACTTGACCTGGGAGAGTCTCACTCAACAGCAGAGGGTGCCAGAGAGCCGGGTCATGTGCCGAGTCCAAAGGGGGAGTGTTGAGTCCACCGAAAGCGGGGAGCCAGCCCCTGCGGTCTAAAACAGGATCTGTTCCTTCCTCCTGCCTCTACCAGGCTGTGATTTTGCTATACTTCAGTGTGGGAAAATGCTAAATAGCCAAATGGATAGCTGTAAAAGAAATGCTAGCTGTTATTGTTATTTATTTTTTTAATATATTTTTATTGATTTTAGAGAGGAAGGGAGGAGAGAGAGATAGAAACATCAATGATGAGAGAGAATCATTGATTGGCTGCCTTCTGCATGCCCTCTACTGGGGATAGAGCCCACAACCCAGGCATGTGCCTTTGACTGGAATCAAACCAGGGACCCTTCAGTCCACAGGCCAATGCTCTATCCACTGAGCCAAACTGGCTAGGGCTGTGTTATTTGTTTTATTATTATTATTATTATTATTATTATTAGAAGCCCAATGCACGAAATTCGTGCATGGGTAGAGTCCCTAGGACTGGCTGGTGATCAGAGCCATCTGTGGGGCTACCAGCAGGGCAATCTATTGGGGGGACCCCCCGCTGGCACCTGCCTTGGCTGGACTGGCGCCACCTGCTTGCCAGCCTGCCTCCCGCCACCACCAGTCACCTCCCTCTGCAGGGTGACTGGCGGGGTGATGCGGGGGAGGCCGCTGGCACTTGCCTTGGCTGGCCTGGGGCCTGCAGGCTGAGGGCAGCTCCTGTGTTGAGTGTCTGCCCCCTGGCGGTCAGTGCACATCATAGTGACCGATCTTTCCACCGGTCTTTCCAACATTCGGTCGACTTGCATATTAGGCTTTTATTATATAGGATTATTATTACTACTAACAACAGGTGTATAAGTGACACGTGATATTAAGAAAGAAGCCCAGAGTCTGGGATAAGGGCCAGAGTGGGAAATGTGTTTGAATAGTTGGTTTGTTTTGTTTTTTTCTTGGCTGTGGGGTGTGATGTTTCAGTGGATAGTGGTTTTGGTTGGTTGGTTGGTTGGTGGGTGGGTTTTTAGTGTATAGGTTAATATGTCTTTCTGGGGAAAGGTGCTTTTTCCCTCCAGAGTGAGTTGATATATCTCTGTGAAATTATTTAAATAGGACATTCAGAAAGCCAAGAGACATATGAAAACATGCTCAAAGTCACTAATCATCCGAGAGATGCAAATCAAAACAACAATGAGGTACCATCTCACACCTGTCAGAATGGCTATCATCAACAAATCAACAAACGACAAGTGCTGGAGAGGATGTGGAGAAAAAGGAACACTTGTGCACTGCTGGTGGGAATGCAGACTGGTGCAGCCACTATGGAAGACAGTATGGAGTTTCCTCAAAAAACAAAACATGGAACTCCCATTTGACCCTGTGATCCCACTTCTAGGAATATATCCCAAGAAACCAAAAACACCAATCAGAAAGGATATATGCACCCATATGTTCATAGCAGCACAATTCACCATAGCTAAGATCTGGAAACAGCCTAAGTGCCCATCAGTAGATGAATGGATTAGAAAACTGTGGTACATCTACACGATGGAATACTATGCTGCTGTAAAAAAGAAGGAACTCTTACAATTTGCAACGGCATGGATGGAGCTGGAGAGCATTATGCTAAGTGAAATAAGCCAGTCAATGAAGGAAAAATACCACATGATCTCACTCATTCATGGATAATAAAGACCATTACAAACTTTTGAACAATAATAGATACAGAGGCAGAGCTGCCTCAAACTGATTGTCAAACTGCAGTGGGAAGGCCAGAGAGGGTTGGGGGGCAGAAGGGAGGGGAGTAAGAGATCAAGATTGTCAAGGGCAGGGAAAAAAAAAGGAGACATATGTAATACTCTTTGTAATACTTTAAGCAATAAAAAAAATAAAATAAAAAGAAAAAAAAAGAAATGATTTAAATATCCCTTTTCAAAGGACTGAAGGGAAGAGAATGATGGGAACGACAACTTCATATATCAAAGAAAATAGGGAAGGTGTGAAAACACCCTTTATCAACTTTGCTAGTAAATCCCCACATCCCTCCATTTGGAATGAGATTTATTAAGTCAGAGAATGTGAGAGCGGGAAGAAACATTGAAGGTAGCACCTTCTCATTGTTAGAGAGGTGGGACTGTGGAAGGGATCATCCAAGGTCACAGCACCCAAGGTCACGGGAGTGCTGGGCAGTTTCCTGTGGGGAGTGCAGTGAAAGGACGGTGGTGGGGGCTAGGCGTTCATTCCACCCTTTATCACATGATCATTGTAGGAAAGGGGGGAACACAAAATTGTTTTAATTGCCTGGAATCCTGCCACTTCGAGATGATCATTGTTTGAATTTTTGCTGTAATAATTTTCCTGACTTTCAGAGTTATATTAATACTTATATCAAAACTTACATTTTGCTAAAACTGGAGTACACTAAACATGATGCTTTGTAACCTTTGTGTGTGCACCAACATAACAGGAACACTTTTCCATGTCAATTAGTATCCACCTTCAACATAATTCTTAACAAATACATACTGTTCTGGTGAGTGGCTGTGTCCTCATTATTTTAATCAAATCCTTATCGACAGATATAAGCACTTTTTAAATGTTAAACTCATAAATGACTGTACTAAACCTTCCTGTTCATACATCTTTTGCGTAAGTGGCATGTACCTGCCAGTCAGTGTGGCATTTTGTAGGAATGCAGTACATTGGTGTAGGCTGGGTTTGAACTCTGGCTCCAGAACTTACTGTCTCTACACAAAGTCATGACTTTTCTAGGCCCCAACTTCCCCATCTCCAAGTGGAAGCATCATAGTATTAATCTCCCAGGGGTGTTGGGAGGATAAATGAGGCTATAAAAGGAAAGAAACTTGTTAGTGCCAAGCACATAGCAAGCCCTAAATAAATATTAACTACTACAATATAATTACTATTGCAACCCCTGAAAAAAATTGGCTCCTCAAAATAACTTCCATGGTTTTCTCTTACTCTTTGAACCAGAGTTACCAGAGTTTCATAAAGAAGTTTTAGGTGCTACACTTCAGTAGCTAGAAGATATTTCCTTTTTCATTAAACTATTTACTATGTTCTGGTTATAATACTTAATGTCAGTCAAAAAAGAAGTATCTGATTCTACACCCTCATTGAAGACTCTGGAGTAACCTTGAATGGACCGAGACATTTGTAAAAATGCTCAAAGCAGAGCCTCTTGTTCTCCAGTGCCTTCAAACTAATCTCTGCTTTTTTTTTTCTTATGTTCATGGGCCTCCACTATTTCACAGTCCTTATAGCTGGAACACAGACAGAAACAGAAGCCATTTTCTCCAAAACTTTGTTTTAATCTAGACAGATATCCACAGCCACACTGGACAGATTTCAGGTTCATATTCCCATCAGAAGCTTTGGAGACCAACGACCATTCCTATCTAGGGGTAACCCAATTTTGTGTCACCAATGTTTCTCCAAGGGGTGTCGAAAAATAGGGACTTTCCACCCTCTTTAAAAAGCTGGTTGGAAGAGTCCAGTCATGGAGAATCCATCGCAGAGGTCAGAGGTCAGTGACCAAAGTTCAAAGTGACCAGAACTTCCCAGAGCTGTGAATACCAGTTTCTCCATGCTTCTGGCAGCCCCTCCTCTGCTCCATGGACACCACAGACAGGACATCCCAAGGACTGATGTGGTGGAGCTCTGGTTGAATCTGAACACCAAACACTGGGTGGTCCCTGGTCTATAAGGGATGCACAGAACGACCTAATGTGTCTTTTCCATAGTGTGCCACCCTTCCTTTCAGTGGTGACCAGTGACATCCTATATAATAAAAGGCTAATATGCAAATTGACTAAACGGCGGAATGACCGGTTGCTATGATACGCTCTGACCACCAGGAAGAGCACTGCTCAGCCAGAAGCCAGGCTCACAGCTGGCGAATGCAGTGGCGGTGGCGGGAGCCTCTCCTGCCTCCACGGCAGTTGGACATTCCCTAAGGGCTCCCGGACTGCAAGAGGGCACAGGCCGGGCTGAGGGACCCCCAAGTGCACAAATTTCATGCACCGGGCCTCTAGTTGGACTAGAATGTCTCAGAGTGTTGTGGTGTCTTGTCAACTTAGCTAAGCTAGTTTTGTTTCCCAGGATTTTCTACCCTGTAAGGTTCTGAGTTAGAGTTGGACACAGGAAAAACGTGTGCAGGATTAGAGAGGTGAAAGTAAAGCCACAGAAAATATGCTCTGAAGGTTGGTGTAGGACAGGTGCCACTGCTGCTTGCACATGCTGGCACTGTGGGCTGGCAGGCCTTGCTGGTGTGGGGCAGCACTGGGGCCTAGTCGCTCCATCTCCGCCAGGCCTCCTCCTAGAAGGTCTCCATATCCTGGACCAGGCGTGTGTGCAGCTCCATGCCAGCAGACACCAGCTCCTTTTCAAATTAATCCTGCAGACCAGTTTGTCCTGCTATCTCCAACTTCACATTCAACTTTTCTTCCCATCTGTTGGTCCTACGGTAAATATCAGGCTCAGCCCCACAGCTTCTGTTTCTACTTTGTTTGTTAAATTATTTTATTGATTAGATTTCACATATAAGTGAGATCATATAGTATTTGTCTTTCTCTGCTTTATTTCACTTAGCATGATAATCTCCAGTTTCATCCATGCTGTTGCAAAAGGTAAGATTTCCTTCTTTTTTATGGCCACATAGTATTCCATTGTGTAAATGTACCAGAGCTTTTTTATCCACTCATCTACTGATGTGTACTTGGTCTGTTTCCAGATCCAGGCTATCCTATCTAATAAAAGAGAAACATGCAAATTGACCATAACCCCGACACCCTTCCCATTGGCTAATCAGTAGGATATGCAAATTAACTGCCAACCAAGATGGCGGCCGGCAGCCACGCAGCTGAAGCGAACAGGAGGCTTGCTTGCTCCAGTGACAGCTATAGAAGGTAAATAAATCCAGAATTAAAAAAGAAAGAAAAAAGGAGAGGCTGGGAGCTTAAGTTCCCCTCCAGCCTGAAAACGGCTCTCAGGCCCTCACCCAGACTGGCCAGGCACCCCAGTGGGGACCCCCACCCTGAAGGGGGTGTGACCAGCTGCAAACAGCCATCAGCCCGTCATCCAGGCTGGCCAGGCACCCAAGCAGGACCCCCACCCTGATCTGGGACACTTTCAGGGCAAACCAGCCAGCCCCCTCCCGTGCACCAGGCCTCTATCCTATACTACAGGCAGGGCAGGACAGCGCGAGCTGCCATCC